GTACCTTGGGTCGGTTATCCATGTGGGAGGGGAGAACAACGAGGATGTTACGCACCGTGTCGGGGTAGGATGGATGAAGTGGAGGTTAGCATTTGGAGTATTGTGACAAAAGAGTGCCACTGACACTCAAAGGTAAGTTCTATAAAGCGATGGTTTGGTCGGCTATGATGTATGGGGCTGAGTGTTGGCCGGTTAAGAAATCACATATCCAGAAGATGAAGGTAGCAGAAATGAGTATGTTGAGGTGGATGTGCGACATAGTAGGATGGGTAAGATTAGGAATGATGATATTCGAGAGAAGGTGTGCGTGGCTCCCATTAATGACAAGATGCGGGAAGCAAGGCTCAGGTGGTTCGGGCACGTTCAAAGGAGAAGCCCAGATGCTCCGGTAAGGAGGTGTGAACGACTGGTTATGGAGGGCTCGAGAAGAGGTAGAGGGCGGCCTAAGAAGTATTGGGGGAGGTGATTAGGCAGGATATGGCGATGCTTCAGATTTCCAAGGACATGGCACTTTATAGGAATATGTGGAGGTCGAGTATTAAGGTTGTAGGCTAGGAGGTAGCTGAGTATTGTCTTATGTCATAACTTTGGGGGACTAGTTTGGTAAGGATACTATTTTGCTTTTGCTTGGTATCATGCCTCTTGATTTCATGTTGTTCTTATTTTTCCATATATATATATATGTATGTATGTATTTCTTTCATATTGTTCTGTGGTGACTAATATTGTTTCCTTTTGTTCTTTTGTCCTTTTTTCTTATTGAGCCGAGGGTCTTTCGGAAACAGCCTCTCTACTCCTTCGGGGTAGGGGTAAGGTCTGCGTACACACTACCCTCCCCAGACCCCACTAGTGGGATTACACTGNCAGGTGGTTCGGGCACGTTCAAAGGAGAAGCCCAGATGCTCCGGTAAGGAGGTGTGAACGACTGGTTATGGAGGGCTCGAGAAGAGGTAGAGGGCGGCCTAAGAAGTATTGGGGGAGGTGATTAGGCAGGATATGGCGATGCTTCAGATTTCCAAGGACATGGCACTTTATAGGAATATGTGGAGGTCGAGTATTAAGGTTGTAGGCTAGGAGGTAGCTGAGTATTGTCTTATGTCATAACTTTGGGGGACTAGTTTGGTAAGGATACTATTTTGCTTTTGCTTGGTATCATGCCTCTTGATTTCATGTTGTTCTTATTTTTCCATATATATATATATGTATGTATGTATTTCTTTCATATTGTTCTGTGGTGACTAATATTGTTTCCTTTTGTTCTTTTGTCCTTTTTTCTTATTGAGCCGAGGGTCTTTCGGAAACAGCCTCTCTACTCCTTCGGGGTAGGGGTAAGGTCTGCGTACACACTACCCTCCCCAGACCCCGCTAGTGGAATTACACTGGGTTGTTGTTGTTGTTGTTGTTATTTAAATTTATGAAAGATACATAAACTAAAATATTTTTGTAATTTTTATTTTTTGTGACGAAATAAAGTAAAAGAGTCAAAACTAATTGAAATAGCGATATTAGGCATAAACTAAATGTTTACATGCTAAAATATGAAAAATCTTGGGGAGGCTCAAAAATCACATGTCTACAGCTATATTCTTTTTTTTATAACTCATCTATGTTTATACTGTTTTGACATCTTAAATGATATTTTGAGATGAGCATTATATTTTACTATGCCCGAGTGGCTTTTAGAGATTTCTGACTGAGTAGGGTCGAGGGCCTGTGTTGTGAGGTTATTATGGGATCGGGCTGCGCGCCGCAATGGTATTGAGCTAATTCATGATTATGAGGTCAAGGGCTTGAGTTGTACGCCACAAGGTGTCTTGATATGAGGCCGAGAGCCTATTGATTATGTCACGAGATGACTTGATATTGCGCTTTGGCCACAAGGGGCCCCTCCCGGAGTCTTTTAACCCCTCAGTGAGCACGGGTATCCAGTGTGATATGTGATATAGCCCAAGGGGCTGATGTTGTTCCATGTTATTGCCCGAGGGGCTAATTCTATTGATATTGTACCCGAGGGACTGATTTTATGTGTTTATTTTTTCTCGCTGCTTTTCATTCACTTGTTTATCTGTTAAAAGATGCTTTAAAGATGTTTTTACTGAACTGAGGTATTTCATAAGTTTTCACTGTTCTATTGCATTATATTGATTTTATACTAGCTCTTTGTAGCATTTTGCTATGTTTTATGTGTTTTCTTGTCGCTCAACTGTCCTTACTTTTATTACTCACTGAGTTGGCGTACTCACATTACTCCCTACACCCTGTGTGCAGATTCAGGAGCTTCGGGTTCCGCTAGGGAGTGCTAACTGCTTCTAGCGGGCTATTTCCGCAAATGTTCTATCTCGCTTTTATTTTGGGATTTATATTATGTTAATGACTTAAATTGAATTATTATATCTGTTTAAATTGATTGGGGAGTTGTGTCGGCTGTCCTTGTTTCATGATAGGTGTCATCACGACCGGGTCCGGGTTTAGGGTCATGACATCATGGGTGTACTTAAATGTGTAAGCTTCCTGATAAGAATGCCTATCCATATTTATGGTGAAAGACAATGAGAGATTAAGAAGATAAATACAAGTTTCAAAAAGTAAAAGAAGCAAGATGAAGAAGGTACGAGACGCCTAGTTAATGAAGGTTAACAATGTTTATAATTTAGGCAGAGGAACATAAACTTTTTGAGTTATATTAAATAGTAACAGAGGTATGTACAATTGGTCATACCCATTCCAGTTATGCCCTATGGGGGCTAACAGGTATAGTTAAGAGAAGGATGGGATATCAACATCTGGGTGGTGTTAGGGTAACCCTAATTGGTAAATGGATTGCTCGTGTTAGTTGACATTGCCGAATGATATTGCAAATGTGCTAATAGCTCTCCTTGTGAGACACCCAAATGGTGTATTCTACAATATTACAGTTAGATGTGAATACTAGCATGATCAAAAAAAAATTCAAATGATAGGAACTACAAGCCTGGAAGGGATAAAAATTACCTTAGTGTGACTCTCGTCCCTAGTAGAGCGAGGACGTTGAGCAACCCGAAGAGCCGATGGATGAAGCAAGGAGAGCTAAAAGCGAAAGAATAACGTATTGAAGTTTTCACAAGAAAAGGAATATGCAGAAATAATAGAAGAGAAATGAGAAGATAGATAAGGAAGAATTATAAATAAGGTGTGATACATGGATGACAACGATAGAGTGTTACAGAACCTATAGTCAAATGAAGAAAGAGACGAAACGTGATGGGCTTTCAGACAAAAAAAGAGTATAGGCCATACAGTCACATCCTAATTTCGAAAAATAAGTTCGCGACTCTAACGTGATTAACAGAAGGAAAAGCTAGACCCTAGAGTAAAAGAAATCAGTATGGACTGGTGAATAAGATAAACTAAACATGAATAAACAACTGAGTGATTTGATAATAGTCAGCATCATGAGAATTTCAGATGGATTCTGGCAATAATAGAATGGACAACAAAAGAAGATCCATCATGAATTCTGACAATGGTTATTCAAGGAGACGCTTCCCTAAAGCAAGCAAGGTGAGCAAAGTTAAGCTTAAGAGACTGTATATTCCAGTTACACTAAATGTCACCATCGCGAGCGAGGGATTTTGTTATCCTTGGTACAGAAGGATTACCGCAAGGCAAGTAAGGGTAATTGATAATGTGAAAGGACACCAAAGATGAAGAGGAAAATCATCTATAGGCAGGCCGTCATAGCTCCAAGTCTTAGTACTCCCCTAAAGGGGGAAATATGGAATGACAAAGGAAGAATGCGATAAAAATTAAAAAGGGATGAGGTTGCACTTATCCAAATGTTACAGATATGCTATGATTACACGACGTTATGTAATCACGACATCAAAAAAAAAGAGTAAGGGTTCCTCCCAGGATATTATTGATAGATAATGAGCCAGTACATGAGGTAAGTTAAGACAAGGAAATAACCCAAGAAAGATTACGCAGAATATGGATATGAGAATGGGCCGACGATTAGTTAGTAGTTGGTTCAGGAAGAGCCTAATCATGAGTAGACAAGAAGTAACAAACAAATCAGCGGATCATGCAAGATAAATGTAGTAAACCCCAACATGGAGAAGTCAGTTTCGCAGTAGTGTCATTATAATACTTGAGATATATTCAAATAGGAGTTGGGGTAGCTAAAGGTACCGTATGGGTATTACGGGGATAAAAGAAAGTACCACTGGGAAGGCAGTCAAAATATCAGTTCAAAAGAAATCCTACAAGCACAAGGGCACAGTGGTAAGAAACTACGGATGATTATAGGCAAGGAAGGACATCAAAAGGTTCATAGTAAGCTCACAGCTTTACGAGAGTTAAAGGTTCTCACTAAGTACCACAACGAAAGACTAGATGAGGAAATAAAGAAGAAGACTTCAACTTAAGCACAATGACCTAGAGAGGAAATGGCCATGTAACAACAGTCTCACAACTGTCACACCTCCTTTTTACCACCCGAAAGGGTATGTAAGAGAGTTTTTTCCAATTTAAGTGACCATCAAAATGGGATTATTTATATTAAATAGAGTTTCCACTTGGCATAATTTATGGTGTCCTAAGTCACTGGTTTAGAATTCCAAATTGAGGAGATTTGACTCTGTTATACGGTCTGCGAAACACAGATATCCGGGTAAGAAATTTTGTTAACCCGGGAGAAGGTGTTAGGCATTCCCGAGTTCTATGATTTAGCATAGTCTCTTTGATCATGCTTGACTTAATCAAATTTTCTAATTACTCATTTCAGAACCTATGTCATGCGTACGTATCCACAATTAATCATGCTTTATTATTATTAAGAAAGTTTGGCCAAAGTTGCGCGAACGCATACACAATCACGAAGATTCGATTAAGTCGCACCTAAAGAATTTTCTACGAATATTATTTTTTTTAAAAAACGTACTCGTGTCACACGAACGTGTACACAATTAATAGCATTTTATTATTATTAAGACTATTTTGCCCAAAATTGTTCAATAATGTACAAAAGTTTGTCCACAATATGAAATCTTATTGTATTACAATATCAGGAACTCGTTAATTATCAAATACATAGTGGCAACTTCTCAATGCCAACTCCAGTAATACAAAGATCAGAGCATTGAACCAACTCAAATGCGCCACACAGTAAGTATTAATTCGCTGCTATGAGTATCACAACTTCAACAGACAACTCCACCCTAAGGAAAGAAACATCACATGATCCCTAACATAACAATTATTTTATAGTGCAAATAAAATAAAGTGTGCCAATTAGGAAATATAAGAGAAAGATTCAATAGACTGTTCATTCGACTTGGAACACAATACCGACTGCTGGAACATCATATGAGCAAATGTCTACCACCAAAAAATAAACAGTTAAACCAAGCCAAATGCTGGAATACGCCCAGCTAATATAAAGTTTGCATTTTAAAACTAAACCAAAGCAAATGCTATTAAATGGTTCGAATTATACTTAGACAGATACATATTTAGGCCTTAGATACACTAAATTTCATAATGGTGAATTTCCTTAAGTTGCAGGCATTTATTTCTTTACATATTAACAAAAGAGAAACTATCATTAACCATACAACTCAAGAATAGAAGCTACTTTACTCTTCATTTACACCAAAAGAAAAGCTATTTAATTACACTAATCAGCACTAAAGAGTGGTAATGAGCATCACACGGGCATTATGAAAATTAGAAGGAACAACAGAAAGAGTAAGCTTCTGGAGATCATCCTTTAAATTGAGATAGGAAAAATAAAACGTAATAATCCATAGTTAATATAAGTAAACATATGAAAATAAGTCTTTAAGCAGCAAACCTTACTATTCTGGGTGCACTGGGTTCATTGAAAAAATTAAAGACTACACCGAAGTCGCTGATCCACGACTAACATAGACTCCTTAAATCCCACACATAATGGCATTCTCTAATGGATATGTCATGTTAAACTAATCAAGATGTTTGGATATAATTGGAATCACTGATTAACATTATTGTGAGTCCAATTTGGAATCGAGATGTGCGAGAAATTCTTCTAATAACCGAAAATAAGCACAATAGTACCATGTCTCGCCTATCAATCACAGAGCTGACCAGAAGTTCAGTCATTCATGTAAAAATCAAGCAAGTACAAACTTTAAAACATATTTCAAACACATAAAGAAATCAAACACCTTAACATAAAAAAAACTGATAATGGCTTGATCGCAGCCGGCATTCACTAACACTCGCTTAAGTATACCATGTAATTTAAACTTCCATATCTTAAGCTCCAACCATACTTTGCTACATACATACATAAGCAGAGTAGGATAAGATGTGAACCTGAACGAGAGTTTGCGATTAATTTGCCAGAAGGAGATTACAAGATAGTCCGGTGATAAACTTGTCCGCCAAATTGGAACGGCAGTAAACTAATCAGGGACGACCAACTTGAACCTCGAACAGAATCAACCTCACTGGAAAATGCATTTTCGAATGCGAACTATAAACGATCTCAGCTCATTCGAACACCCATGTTTGAGACTCGGAATCAAAACACAAAAACTGGAATATTTTTTTGTATATATTTTCGAATTGAAATGCTAATTTAATCAAAATAGAAACATTCTTTTTTAGATGAAAGGAAGTACTGAAATACAAAACTCTTTTTCTTTTTTTGAAATTGTTTTTCCAAAACTTTTGAAGCAAAACTCAAAACAAAACAAAAACTAGTTTTTTTAGTATTTTTTCTCTAGGATCGACAAGACAACAGAGAAAAAAAAATCAAAATGAAACTAAGCACAAAACCCTAGTTTTCTGTCAAAATCTCTCTCTGAAATTTGTTCTCAGACTTTTTCCCAAAACAAATCCCCCTTAAGAATGTAAATCATCACCTTATATATCCTTTTCCCCAGAAATCTCGAACCTTCTAAATTCTAAAATCCCCAAAAAAATGAGAAAATCTCTCTGAAACCAACTAACTTGGGACATATGAACGAAGAGGATTAAACCTCCTTAATCATACGACCCCCATCAATCCTTCATTTGTTGGAGAGAGATGAAGCACTTGAGATTCAAGTGAGAGGACAGAATGAGGAATATTCGGGGTTGTTATGTGTCAGACCACGTGGAGGGAAGAGAGAAGAGGGGAATGTGATTTGGGGGAATTTTCTGTTGGGTTTGGGGTAGTAAACGGTGGTAGAAGGTGCAGGAGGAGGGGGTGTGTCACGACTCGGATTTTCCACCATCGGGAGTGGTGATGGCGCCTACTATTGGAGCTAGGCCAGCCAAGTATTAAAATATTTCTGATAACATTCGCAACAATATAAACAAAACGAGTCAATTAAATAAAAGAGGAAGTCTTTAAACTTAGATAACTGAAATTAAATGCGGAAGTTTAACATGATCCTCTACCCAAGATTGGTGTCACAATGCTCACGAACTTCTAAGATTTACTAAATACAATCGTCTGAAAAACAATTATAAACTGTTTGTTTCGGTAAAAAAGATAACAAACTGAATAAAAGAAGAGAGACTCCGGGCCTGCGGACGTCTGCAAGGCTACCTCGGTGTCTCTAGACTGGACTTAGCTCCCGATCAAATCCTACTGCTGATGTCCAAAAGCTACTCCTGGATCTGTGCAAAAAGATGTACAGAGTGTAACATCAGCACAACCGACCCCATGTGCTGGTAAGTGCCTGGCCTAACCCCGACGAAGTAGTGACGAGGCTAGACCGGACCTACCAAAAACAACCTGTGCAGATATATGCAATAGAAGGAAATATACAGAATTTAAACAGCTAAGAGGGGGGGGAAGCATGCTATGGGGAGCTAACAGTTTCAAATAGAAATCCTCAATAACATAAGGAAGTAACAAAGCCAAAATGTCAACATGAATTAAAAGTCAACAATTTGCACGACATCACCCTTCGTGCTTTTACTCTCGTCCTCACAAAAACAATACACGGCATCACCCTTCGTGCTTTACGCTCTTCCTCACCCAAACAACAATCACACGGCAAATAGGGTAGGGAAATCTATAACCTCGAAGTAAATCAAATAGGAACAAGTAATGAAAGAAACAACATAACTCGGATATCAACAAAGAATCAGAAAGCAACAGATGCACGACATCACCCTTCGTGCTTTTACTCTCGTCCTCACCAAATCAATCATATAAATAAAATATGCACGACATCATCCTTCGTGCTTTTACTCTCTTTCCTCACCATATAATCAATAAAATCGGCACGGAATGGTACATCGTGCAGCACGGCATCACCCTTCGTGCTTTACACTCTTTCCTCACCATAACAAACAATGCACGGCATCACCCTTCGTACTTTACACTCTTCCTCACCCAAACAACAATCACAAACAAGGGGCAAGGGAGTAGACAAATAATGATAGAAATCTCGGCAAGGGAATACAAATAAATAGCTAACTTCCGGCAAGGGAGCACAATTAAGCAGTTAAAAACCCGGCAAGGGAACAATATCAATAATCTCAGCATCCCGGCAAAGGGGGATAGTCAACAAAACAACAAGCATCCCGGCAAGGGAGAAATTCAATAATTCTTTCGCTTTCTTTCACTTTTACCTCTTATCTCACTATACCACCCGAGCCAACGCTCCAAAGGGGTTCAATCATTTCATATACTTTCACGCTTTATGATATACTCGAGCCAATGCTCCAAGAATGTACAAATCATAATTCTTCCTCAAACTCTTCACATTATATGAAATTTACCAATTTAACAAGGAAGAGGTATCACAAAAATCCAAATAAACACGAATAAGACTCACGGTCATGCTAGACTCCGGTGTATAGATACTCGTCACCATATCTATACACCGTACTTAACAATTAGCAAATAGCAAACAATACTCTAAACCTATTCCCTCAAGCCAAAGTTAGAACAAACACTTACCTCGGTCCAAAGAATAGCAATCGACCCTCAAATACAGCCTTCCCTTTAAGATCCGACTCCGAAACAACGATATCTAGGCATAATTAATTCAATAATATCAATGAAGACTCAATAACAACACCTCATAGCTTAGATATGAAGTTCCTAGCATTCTTCCAAAAATACCAAAATTCGACCCCGGGCCCACATGGTCCAAACACGAGGCTCGGACCAAAACCCGAATACCCATAACCCCACGAGTTCAAATATATAATTTTTTTTAAGACCCAACCCCAAATTGAGGTTGAATCACTCAAAATTCCCAAAAACCTAACTCTACCCAAAAGCCCTAATTTCTACTTTGATTTCATGATTTAGGTTTAGGAATTCAATAGACATTGATGGAAAAATGAAGAAAACGAGTTGAAATTTACTAACCCAAGAAGTCTTGGTGAAGAATCGCTCCAATGGTCGCCTAAGAGTTTGGAGAAGAAAAGGTTTTGTGATCTTTCTAATGAATCTCGTAGCTACTGTTTCAGATGTTTTTGAAAAAAATAACTGGGCAGAAAATGCTCTATGCGATCACGAAGAAGGTCATGCGATCGCATAGGGAGAGGAAAGTTGCCCATTGCGATCGCGGACAGTGTATTGCGAACGCATAGAACAAAACGGGCTCCATTCCGGGTTTGGTTTTTATGCATTGCGATCGCGGAAGGGGAATGCGATCGCATATAACAAATGGTGGCTACTATACGCGATCGCAGGAGGATCTATGCGACCGCATAGAACAAACAGGGCACCTGGAAACCCACTCTATGCGATCGGCCTATGCGATCGCATAGCACTGGATAACAGAACACCAGAACTGCTATTTTCTGCAACTTTTCTAAGGCCAAAACCACTCTGAAAAGTTGTTTTGATGCTCATACTTAACCTGCTGACAATTCAAACACCGTTCCATATAGGCAACGATATCCTTCTTCATTCTACGCCACCAATAATGTTGTCGCAAGTCCTGATTAAACTTCGCGGCGCCCGGATGAATAGAGTACCGGGAGCTATGGGCCTCCTCTAAAATCAACTCTCAAAGCCCATCCACATTAGGCATACAAACTTGACCCTGCAATCTCAAAACTCTATCAGTATCTAAGGTAACCTGCTTGGAACCTCCATGATGTACCGTGTCCCTAAGGGCACATAAATGGGGATCATCAAACTGCCGATCACGGATACGCTCTAATAACGAAGAACGGGCGATCGTGCAAGCTAATACTCTACTAGGCTGAGAAATATCCAACCTCACTAACTCATTGGCCAAGGCCTGAACGTCCAAAGCAAGCGATCTCTCGCCGACCGGAATATAAGCAAGACTGCCCATACTAGCTGACTTCCTACTCAAGGCATCGACCACCACATTGGCCTTTTGGGGGTGATATAGGATAGTGATGTCATAATCTTTCAACAACTCCAACCACCTCCTCTGCCTCAAATTCAACTCCTTTTGCTTGAACAAATATTGAAGACTCTTATGATTTGTGAACACCTCACACGCCATGCCATACAGATAGTGCCTCTAAATCTTCAATGCATGAACAATGGCTGCCAACTCCAAATCATGCACTGGATAGTTCTTCTCATGAACCTTCAACTGCCTCGAAGCATAGGCAATGACCTTGCCATCCTGCATCAACACTGCACCAAGTCCAATACGAGATGCATCACAATAGACTGTATAAGGCCCTGAACCTGTGGGCAAAACCAATACTGGTGCCGTAGCCAAAGCTGTCTTGAGCTTCTGAAAGCTCGCCTCACACTCGTCCGACCATCTGAACTAGACTCCCTTCTGGGTCAACCTGGTCATCGGGCTACAATAGAAGAGAACACCTCCACGAACCGACGATAGTAACCTGCTAACCCCAAGAAACTCCGAATCTATATGGCTGAAGCTGGTCGAGACCAGTTCTTGACTGCCTCTACCTTCTTCAGGTCAACCTAAATATCCTCTGCTGATACAACGTGACCCAGAAATGCAACCGAGCTCAACCAGAACTCACACTTTGAGAACTTAGCATATAACTGACTATCCCTCAAGGTCTGAAGAACCACTCTAAGATGCTCCTCGTGATCCTCCCGGCTGCGGGAATATATCAAAATATCATCAATGAAGACTATCACGAATGAGTCCAAATAAGGCCTGAACACTCGGTTCATCAAATCCATAAAGGCTGCTGGGGCATTGGTCAACCCAAATGACATAACCAAGAACTCATATTGCCCATACCGAGTGCAGAATGCTGTCTTAGGGACATCGTATGCCCTAATCCTCAACTGATGGTAGCCAGATCTCAAGTCAATCTTTGAAAATACCTTGGCACCCTGAAGCTGATCGAACAAATCATCAATCCTGGGCAGTGGATACTTATTATTAATTGTAACCTTGTTCAATTGCTGATAATCAATGCACATTCTCATCAAGCCATCCTTTTTCTTTACAAACAGAAACGGCGCACCCCAAGGCGATACGCTGGGTCTAATGAAACCCTTCTCGAGCAAGTCTTGCAATTGCTCTTTCAACTCTGGCGGGGCCATGCGATATGGCAAAATAGAAATGGGCTGAGTGCCCGGAGCCAAATCGATGCAAAAATCAATATCCCTATCGGGTGGCACCCCTGGCAATTCTGATGGGAAAACCTCAGGAAACTCACGAACCACGGGAACAGAATCAATAGAGGGAATCTCAACACTGGAATAACGAACATAAGCCAAGTAGGCCAAACACCCCTTCTCGACCATACGCCGAGCCTTCACATACAAAATAACACTGCGGGTAGAATGACTGGGAGTCCCTCTCAACTCTAAACGGGTCAAATTCGGTAAGGCTAAAGTCACGGTCTTGGCATGACAATCCAAGATCGCATGATACGGGGACAACCAATCCATCCCTAATATAACGTCGAAGTCTACCATATCTAAGAACAACAAATCAACACGGGTCTCAAGTCCCCTAAACACCACAACACAGGAAAGATGAACCCGATCAACCACTATAGAATCACCCACTGGTGTAGATACATACACAAGAATACTCAAGGCCTTACTAGGCATAACCAGGTAGGGTGCACAATAGGACGACACATATGAATACGTAGATCCAGGGTCAAATAGCACTGAAGCATCTCTATCACAGAACAAAATAGTACCTGTGATAGCAGCATTCGATGACTCAGCCTCTGGCCTGGCTGGCAAAGCATAACATCGGGGCTGGGCCCCACCTCCCTGAATCACAT